GATTCGTAGTCAGATGCCTTATCCGTTGGGCGACGGGGGCTGTCATGGGGTAAAAGTGTCGTTTTTGGATACTCACTGTCCAGCGTTTTCCCAGGCCTTCTCTATCAATTTGCTATGGATTTAGAGTCTGTTGATCAAATCCAGTATGGTGTGACCATTCAAATGAAACGTTTTCAGCATTACTTTCACATGGTACTATTTATTTAGTATGTAGCGTTTTAACTCTTAATCGAGTTTGTGAATTAAATCCTATACCATTCAAATGAAACCTCTTCAGCAGTACTTTCGCAGATTATATTAATGGTTTAGACGAGTGCGTGGGCGGCTGCAACGAAGGCTAAGACGCAGACGACTTTCCTGGCGAAACGGCCCAATGTGGTGCGGAGCGAGGAGAAACGGCTGTTTTCCCAGGCTAGACACAGGCTATACAATTCCACTGTTCAACGTCTTGAACAGTCCTTTTTGAATCACTATCCCTTCAAAAGAGTTTCAAGGCTGGCGATAACGTTCTGATTTGTATCAACAGCACTGAATTTGTTTTCCAAGAAATTTAATTCCATGATGTTAGTTTGAAAACTTATATAATTCTGTATGCAAATCAAACAAATTAGGCTCATAAAATATGCTTTCTTGTCGTAAACAGAGTAGGAAAATAACCAACTTTTGTCTTAAACAGGGTCAGCGTTCGAGGGCCTCGGCGCACACCTTTACCCAAACCTTCCTGGATTGCCTACTCCGCTGTAAATGTAGTTCAAATGTGAACCCGGGGTCAGTGAAATCCTATTGCATGCTAGTCATGCTATGGTACCTAAACATTTACAAGAAATTCTCTTCAGCAAAACAATTAAGTTTAAATTTATGTTTGTTTACGGTACTTTGCATTTTACAAACCGATTTTTTTGAATTATTGTTCCAGTTTATTTTCATGATCAGCTGTACCTACGACGCGACTAGTCGTAAAATGCTTTAATCCTTAAACCACAAATCTTATTTCTTGCTGTTGTCGTTGGCTCAAAAAAGGCCAGAAACGGCGTTTGTGCGAATATAAATCCGTCTGTTCTTAATTACCAAAAACATTGTTACTAAACCTACATCAAATATAATCCCGATAATACTGTTTAATTATCCTATACGTAAGCTGGATTTCCTTTATCCGGTAAGCAACTATTATCCATCGTAGGCGTAACATGACTTTAATAGCCTGACAGCTACTGATCCTTCTACTTCTTATTGTGAGACATCAGTAAGTGGTAATCCATTGAAATCAATGCATAATCTTTACGTTTAAGCCGAGCGAGCGAGAAGTTCACAAAGATTAAAGGAGCTGTATTAATATTCGCACAGAACGGTCCCTGACCACGGACCATACCAGGACAAAAGAAGCCATGAACTCAAGCCAAGCAATTCACCTCGAATGCCCAATGTACGCTTTCTTGGGCGGTAGGCTGCAACAGCCCTCAAGTGTTGTTCAAATTGCTCTCACTTTAAACATAACCATGAACATCTTTACCTTTCCTTTCACCGTTGTCTTAAACGCGTTGGTGATTTTCGCCGTGAAAACTAAACGACGACTAAGGGCTCACAAATCAAACTTCATGATCGCTCTTCTTGCCACCACTGATTTCCCGGTTGGGATATTTGTTCAACCCACGCTAGTCGCATGGTTGATAGCAATCTTACTCAATTTACGCAGTAAACTATGCCCGTTTTTAGTTTTTAGACTAGTGATAAGCTGCCTAGTAGGCGTCTCACTAATTCACTTGTTGGTGATATAAGTATGGAGAGGTATCTAGCTGTAAAACACCCTTTTGTGTACATCTCAGTTGTTAGAGAAACCAATCTTCTCCTTGCATCGTTTACGGCTTGGCTTTTTTCCCTTATTTTTCATCTTTACTTCTTGATTATGAAAGACACAACAACGTTTACTGTCATCAACAATGCCTTTACTGGTTCATCAATAGCCTTTACAGTTCTCAGTCACCTTACAGTTTACCGTGAAAGCCTCCGTCGCAAGAAGCAAATCGCAGGTCAGCAAGTAACACCAGATGCAAGGAAAAAAACCTTAAGGGATCAGAAGGCATTTAAAGTTACAACTCTAGTCATAGCGGTTCTGCTACTGTGTTATGTCCCAACAATTATTGCTAGAATAGTCACAACAACGTATCGTAGTAGTTTCACTTTGGAAGCAATGTATATCATATTTTTTTCTACCCTGTCCATTAGCTTACTTAACTCTTTCATCAATCCAATACTTTACGCTGTTAAAATCAGAGAGCTTCGTGCTGTTTTTATGGAGATAATGTGCAAAAAAGCAAATATCCGTGATGTGGAAAGCATTGCCGAGACACGTGTGATAACAACCTTAAACGCCGGGATTAGTCTTCACGCACAACAAGAAAACAAGGAATCGGATCAAGAAAATATGGAGTAACCGAATGTAATGAGAAGCGCAAGTAGCTGAAAATTAAAAACTATTACGCTGTGGCCACATCAAAAAGTATTCATAGGTTGAAGAAAATGTTGACCTTGCAGTTTTGCGTGCCTGGCGGGTGAAAACTGGCCATGGAAAATTCTAAAGCCATCATCCAAACACTCCCTTGCTTACGAGAGGTTCCAACTGTAGTAATTTGACGAGGAAAATTTTGGAGTTTTGGATAATATAAGTCAGGGGCGGATCTAGGGAAAGGGTGCAGGGGGTGCGCACCCCCCCCCCCCCCCCCCCGAGATGACCTGCGGTTTTCTAATACAACTGGTATTCTGCAAAAAAAAAACTATGTGGTTTATTGGTGTTGAAGTAGAGCAAGAGACGAGTGCACCCCCTCCTAGAAAAAATCCTGGATCCGCCCCTGTAAGTGGTCGCTTACAAGAGGTGGTCGCACATGTCGCTTCGATTGTATGTTAAAGAAACAACCAGGTAATCAAAAGAACAACAAGAGAAACCCGACAACATTTTACATAAGGCGATACCGTTTAAGAATGACCTGCAGGGCATGTGTCTTCTGGACCGGGGGGGGGAGTAGAATTCAATTGAACTATGATATGGGGACATCGAAACATTGTGTTTAACCGGCTCCTGGTTTAACTCTTTCTGCTAATTTTTGTACTTAAGTATTCTAGGTCGCGGCTGATACATATCTATGAATAAATTCATAAGGCAAAATTTTCCTGGCGCTACATCTTTTAAAACGCAAAAATCTTGGCTGTTTTAGGGGCAATTTGGAATAATGGAAGTTAAGGAGAATTGTTTTTTATTTGGTAGATCGTGCTTTACATCAATGCTTTTAGCTACAGTTGTACCTTTTTGGGAAATCGTGATTTTGTGTCCAGCTGTTTGCGGAAAGAATAGAAGACAGCCCTCTGTGATTTTCTTAATCAATGATTGGTCAAAACCTCTAGAGTGTCATGTATAGAGCAGATTTTACAATTTCGACTTGCCAGGAAGATATAATCGTTTAAATAAGCAAACTCTGTAATCCTTGAAAATTACGCCTTATATCTTTTGATAACAGCGCTCTTTTAGAATTACGCTCAATACACAACACACTACAGTCTACCCAGCTCGTGAAGTTTAGTAGCGGAGCCATTAGCCCGTAGCTAAGTAAATCTACCCATCCCAGAAAATTTGGTTATCACGTGACCGTGTACCGACCGACCGACCGTCCGTCCGCACCACAGGGAAACCAATGTTTACTCTCACACTTTCTAGCTAGTTTGAGAGACCAGGAGAAAACTGATTGCACATCAATGTTGTGATCAATTGACAGCTGTCAAAACAGGGTATCCGCTGACCAGTATCACCTGACCGTACCTCTTGTATCGAACGCTTTTTAAGATTACACACCGTTACAAAACCATTAAATAAAAAAATAAACATAATAAATTATTTATTATGTTGAAGCGTAACTCTATTAATGTCATTAAAACACTCTACCACTGCTTGCAGTACAAATTTTGCGCTTGTCAGAAGTGAGAAGCGGCTGGCTAGAGCGGTGATTTTAGAAATTTCTTGAACGGTTTCGTCAAAAGCCCACGATTGATCGTCCTGAATATTGACTGAGTGCAATTTGTCTTGAAAAATTGTGAAATACTTCATTCTGTCAGGGGTCTGTATGATAAATAGTACTGTTTCACCTCAGACGTGATGTATAAAAAGCGGTTATAAAAATTTGATTTACACACCCCGAGATTTGTTGGCAAGATTTTGTAAAGTAATCTGGTCGAACACAAAAAATTTGGCCTGATTTGTTTTCCTGAGAATTTGTTTCCCAGGCCTAATCTACTGTGATCAAGAGGCGTTATGGCTCTAGAATGTGATCGAAGATGATTGCTATTTTGTGGGTGCACATTTTTGAATATACATTTTGTTCGCAGTCTGCGTGCCACACGTGCACGCAAACACTTTAAATTATCAGCTCATCTCTTATCCAGTTATGGATTTCTTGTAAGCCTGTCGATATCAGCCGGTTGTACCTCGTGCATACGCTTTAGATAAATGCATAACAATGAGCCCGAGGTATCCCCCGCGAATCCCCCGGCCCGCGACCTTAATGCTACAGAGATCACCACGAAAAAGGTTATGGTTAGGGCTAATCTCGTACCCAGATCTCCCACGGCCAAGGGAAAGGGAATCAGTTCATGCATGTACATACTTGAAGTATTTTATTATCAGATAAATGTGATAATGATTACAACACTTTACAAGGTGATGCTTTCTTTGGGTTACAGCGCAGTTTTATATGTTTATCCGCTAATAAATTAAATTACTTCCTTTCTTCAAGCTTCACTTTCTTCACGCGTTATCTTGTCGATAAAAGCGACGCGAAATGTCCTTAATCGGACAGCGTAAATAATTGGATTAAAAAGAGAATTTAACAAGTTCATCGAAGTGACTGAAAGGAAAAGCACATATCTCTCTTCTAAAGACACTAGACTGGGAAACTTAGATATCACTATTCTAAAAACGATTATTGGTAAACAGCACAGCAGTATCGCCGCAATGATCAGAGGTGTAACCTTAAGGCCCTTTGATCCTTTAAAAACGTTTTCCTTGTTTCTTGTGTAACTTGTTGATCTGCAATTTGTCGTTTATGTCTTCGAGTTTCGAAGTAAACTTTAAAATGACAGTAACCTATGCAGGCAACTGATGTTAAAATGACAGAATTATCAACAAGAACGAACGCAATCATGTTTTCAGTAAGGAAAAAATAAACGTTTACAACTGAGGGCAACAGCCAAGCCAAGGCAGAAGCAATGACCAGATTACTTTCTTTGACAAGAGAGATGTGCACAAATGGATGCTTGATGGCTAAATACCTTTGTCTACTTATCAGCAACAGATGAAGAATCGACACGCCGAAAAGAAAGTTTATCAGAAAGCTCAAAATCTCTAAATCTCTAAATGAACATAATCCACTCTTGTAGTTGACCAAGATTGATATCAGCCAAGCAATGAACACAGGCTGAGCAAGACTTCCAGCTACAAAATCAGTGGTAGCAAGCAGAGCGATCGCGATATTGGACTTGTGGGCCCTCAGTCGTCGTTTAGTTTTTTCGGCGATCATCATGAGGAGTTATAGTATCGCCCGTGAGCCTGTTAATAAGATGTTGAATATTCTAACCTCGCATATCATTGCGAGTGTTGTGAATAGTACAATTTATCTCCTCCCAGTTTTTAGTTCACTCGGGAATAAAAAGCTAGGCTGCCGCTCCTGGAAACGAGCTTGGTCGATACTTGGCTTTACACCAGAAGCTTAGTTAGTTTCAAGTAAGCACTTGATTTCAGTGCACTGCTCAAACTCACTAATAATTTATAAAGAAAATACGGAGGAAATTAGTGTTAAATGAGTCAGTTTAGAAATCAGATGATGCTCATTTTTGAATCCTTAATTACTCCTCCTAAAATCATTTTCTAATAACGAAGGTTTTATGACCTTTTATGAAAACAGTTGAGGATAAAAATAAGCCATAGAAAAGAATGACGTTTCGATGACTCCATGTCATCATTTTTAAATTCGTGTAGTCCTTGATTCCTTGAGTTAATTATATAGGGAGTTGCGTGCGAAAGTTTAGTTTCATGTGATTAAAAGAGAAAAATACAATGTAAAGTGTAAAAGGAACTAATTATCAGGCTAATAGTTTTAGTGTGCTAGAGTCAGGTTTCCAGGGTGTTCAGTTTGGGTTTCTTTTCTTTGATAAAGAGCATTTCGTAAATTTAGCAATTCAGCTTTCCACGGCATTTCTTCAGGATGGTAAATTGTTCACATAGATCGCGAATGATGCTACAGATGCGTAGATGCTGCAAAAATCACGCAAAAAATATTATGGTTTGTGCTAATCTCGTACCCAGATCTCCCACGGCCAAAGGAAAGGGAATCAGTTCATGAGTTCATGCATGTACATCCTTGAAGTTTTTTTTTTTTTTAATGATAATGATAATGATTACGACACTTTACAAACTGATGATTTCTTAGGGTTTCAGCGCACTTTTATTTCTTTATCCGCCAATAGATTAAATTACTACCTTTCTTCAAGCCTCAGCTCTTCGTTCTCCGGAGGCCTAGCGATTCGCATTTCATTTTCTTCCTCTTCAACGAGAGTTGTTGTTCCACAAGTTATATTGTCGATAAAAGCGACGCGAAACTTCCTTAATCGGACAGCGTAGATAATTGGATCAATAAAAGAGTTTAACAAGTTCATCGAAGTGATTGAAAGGAAAAGCATATATTTCTCCTCTAAAGGTACTAGACTTGGAAACTTAGTTATCACTATTTTGAAAACGATCATTGGTAAAGAGCACAGAAGTATCGCCGCAACAATCAGAGATGTAACTTTAAAGGCCCTTTTATCTTTTAATAATTGTTTCCTTGTTTCTTGTGTAACTTGCTGATCTGCAATTTGTCGCCGATGTCTTCGAGTTTCAAGGTAAACTGAAAAATGACAGTAAGCTATGCTTGCAGCAACAGATAGAAACATTATTGTATTATCGATAATAACAAACGCAGTCTTTTTTTCAACAAAGGAAAAATAAATTACGTTAAGAATGAGGGGCAACAGCCAAGCCAGGGCAGAGGCAATGAGCAGATTACTTTCTTTGACAAGAGAGATGTGCGCAAATGGACGCTTGATGGCTAAATACCTTTCCCCACTTATCAGCAACATATGAAGAATCGACACGCCAACGAGCATGTTTATCAGAGAGCGCAACGCCATAAATGGGCATAAATCACTGTTGTAGTTGACTAAGATTGATATCAGCCCAGCGATGAACACGGGCTGAGCAAAACTTCCAGCTACCAAATCAGTGGTAGCAAGCAGAGCGATCGCGATATTGGACTTGTGGGCCCTCAGCCGTCGTTTCGTTTTTACGGCGATTATCACCAACACATTCAGGTTAGCAGTGAAAGGAAAGGTAAAGATGTTGATGATTATATTCAAAATAAGGCAAACTTGAGCAAAAGGAGAAGGTTTTTCTAGTCTTCCTCCCAAGATAACATAGATCTGACATTCGTGGTGCATCAATTCACTTGAGTTCATGACGGACGGCTTCTCAGATTTATCTGGATTCAGTTGGTGGGTTGAGAACTGTTCACCAAATTAATATTCTCTTTGTTGACCTTTTACTCTTTGTTTCTAGATGGTCGTGTCACATGCACTTATCGTTGTCGGGGTGTTTTCCATGATTTTGTTTTTTATGCATAAATTTTTAGTATTTGAACTATGTGTTAAGGGCTTTTAAGAAAACAGTTTCTTTTACTGAAGTTCCTTATACAATCATCATTAAGAAACAATCTGCTTTAACTACAAAAACTTGATGTGTGGTTTAGAATGGTTTCCTATCCGAGTTCCGTCGGCAAGGAATAGCCACGAAAATATTTTTTTTCACTTTTTAGCTTTTTTTTTTCGGAAAAAAAGGAAAAAGAAAAGGAGAAAAGAAACCCAAACAGCTGTTTAAATCGCCTTAGAAAACATCAATAATTTAAAAGCGCTGTTAAGTTTGAGTTTCACTTAAATTACCTATATTCATTTATAAGCAACGATTACGAAAAGTAATTGTGTTTAAAATGACTGGCAATTTAGTCAATTAAGCTAAATGTTAATTGAGAATGTTCATTTGCGCGTCTAGCCTTATCTATTTTTATGCTATTTAAGGATTATTTTCTATGTTACAAAGAAATTGGATGTGTTTAGTTAAATTGTTTTCCCGATGCCAGTATATTATTTCATAATTTTGGTAAAATAATAATAAAATCAAATAAAATAAATGTTAAAAAAGTAATTTATATTCTCCTAGTGATGTATAGTGTTTTGGGGGAAGACTCGAATATCCTTCTTCTGTATGTGATTTTTTTTCTTGTCCTGTTTTTTAAGGTCTCCTTTAAGACAAGAAAACAAAAAAAANCATGACGGACGGCTTCTCAGATTTATCTGGATTCAGTTGGTGGGTTGAGAACTGTTCACCAAATTAATATTCTCTTTGTTGACCTTTTACTCTTTGTTTCTAGATGGTCGTGTCACATGCACTTATCGTTGTCGGGGTGTTTTCCATGATTTTGTTTTTTATGCATAAATTTTTAGTATTTGAACTATGTGTTAAGGGCTTTTAAGAAAACAGTTTCTTTTACTGAAGTTCCTTATACAATCATCATTAAGAAACAATCTGCTTTAACTACAAAAACTTGATGTGTGGTTTAGAATGGTTTCCTATCCGAGTTCCGTCGGCAAGGAATAGCCACGAAAATATTTTTTTTCACTTTTTAGCTTTTTTTTTTCGGAAAAAAAGGAAAAAGAAAAGGAGAAAAGAAACCCAAACAGCTGTTTAAATCGCCTTAGAAAACATCAATAATTTAAAAGCGCTGTTAAGTTTGAGTTTCACTTAAATTACCTATATTCATTTATAAGCAACGATTACGAAAAGTAATTGTGTTTAAAATGACTGGCAATTTAGTCAATTAAGCTAAATGTTAATTGAGAATGTTCATTTGCGCGTCTAGCCTTATCTATTTTTATGCTATTTAAGGATTATTTTCTATGTTACAAAGAAATTGGATGTGTTTAGTTAAATTGTTTTCCCGATGCCAGTATATTATTTCATAATTTTGGTAAAATAATAATAAAATCAAATAAAATAAATGTTAAAAAAGTAATTTATATTCTCCTAGTGATGTATAGTGTTTTGGGGGAAGACTCGAATATCCTTCTTCTGTATGTGATTTTTTTTCTTGTCCTGTTTTTTAAGGTCTCCTTTAAGACAAGAAAACAAAAAAAAATGATCAAAAGAAAAATGTTACTCGAGTCATGAGCAAATCACTCTACATCGCCTACTCGTTCCATCATTAATTTGGCAAGTAATATCTTAGCCGATAAACTGTTGTAAAATGCAACGAACAAAGCCTTTCTTGAAACTACTTGAAAACGCTAAGCTAGCTTTTAGCTTAATTGACTTTACTGCCGGTCATTCAAATCACAATCACTGTTCGCAAACGTTACGCGGCATATTAAGTGGATATAGATGATTTGATTTAAGTTCAAAAATAACAAAACCAAGCGCTGAATCAAGCCGAGGATTTTGAATTAATAATATTTTCTATGCCTATGTTGATTTCTTTATGAAGCGTGCTGCGTGAGCTTCGCTTCCTCCGTCCTCTCGTCTTTCCCTTGAGCCTTCTGTTGATCTGCGTGACAACGACTTGAACGAGTTGCAAAGTCAGTAGTTTTCTGCTTCTCCCGCGGTTCCCGTGAGGCCGGAGCCAATCCGTTCTCCCTCCTCCCGCTGGTGAGTTACCTCTTCCTGTACCAAGTATCCTGTTCCTGCTGTTAATGCTGAGTTTTCCAATCTACTCCCAGGGTAATCCACTTCCTGCTCTACGAAAACCTCAGGATTCAAATACAGTAATTTGCTTTTCAAACAAGCAGTTCGTTTTTCGCTTTCTTAACGTTCAACAGCCACTGCACTGTCTGGCTTTGTCGATGAAGTCTTATTAAGAGCCAGTTTCTGTAAATATCGAGAATCCGGCGACAGTTTCAAAATTTTCACTTTCTTCATATTTTGCCCAGATAAAGCCTTTATTGAGTTATTTTCGAAAATACAATTAAAAGATCCCAAAGCGCTCGAGTTTTTTCAAAATCGAGGAAAGTTTGAAAATCGCCATTTTGGCCTCCCGCCGCCTTTGAAAATTGACAAAAATGATGCATTTTCGTTTCGCCCGTGCTGGTAAACGTGATAACATCTAGCAATGTACTTTTGACATTTCATGGTACTTCACTTGCTCTTTCTAAAACACTAGATTACTTGTGAAAAGCTGTCAAAATAGTCTTGTTTCTGGGCGTTTTAGTTACCCCACTTGAAGCGATTGAGCGACTAGGCTAATTTTTGCTTACTTCGACCCCAAGAAAAGCCCACTGGTACATGGAATTTGAGGCCAAAACTAGTATGGTCGTAAAGCACATCCTTTACACTTTGTTGTGTGAAAATGTTTTCCGCGGCCCGCAAAAAGTGTCCCGTAGAGAAACGGAAACGTGAAGACCATTTTGCCACCTAAATCAATTTACCGGGCAACATGTTTCCCTACATACCTACGCAAACAATTTAAAAATTGCTCTGGAAAACCTTCCACATGTTTCTTATCGCTTGAATATCGGATAATAGACACATATGTAACTGTTACCTTTTGATTTTTATCTCATTGTACCGAATAAGTGCTAAAAACGCTTTCATTGCACACTCGTGTATGTCAACACTGAGTTAATATACAACCAAATCAATCAAAACAACCATTTCAACTTCGGTTCGTTGCACAACAGGTATTGCAGTTTTGAAAGCCTATATTTCTTTTAATACTACAAGATTATAAGTTTGTAATAAGAGATCGACCATCTTCCAAAACAAAGAAATTGTGAGTGGTTTTATAGCTTTCAGCTTTGCTCTTAGAGACAGTTTTTAGCATTATATTGCGTGACAAATTTGGTCACCCCTTGAAAGCAAAAACTTCGTCGGAAAACCTATGAAATGACTTAACACCGCTTATCGAAGAACAGATGAATATTTTTAAACATTTAGGCTGTTATCTGATTACACGGGCAGCTTAATTTGCAAGCTAGTCAAAAGTAAGGGAGACAAGAGACAAGCGTTGCGGCACGGTTCCCACGGCAGAACATTTTTAAAATTTTGATTTTCATTTGGATCGCCCTTGTTCTGAGTGATTGCGGGAAACAATCTACTCTAAAAACCTTACCAGTGTGTTTTCCAGTTCATCTACTTGACTTCCATTTGTGTGGTATTGGTATATGAATGGAATTCTTGTCCAGCAACCTTGAACTTTGCGCAAACGAGCGCGATCAGCGACTTAACCGGAGGTTCTATCTAAGCGGGTGAGAGGTGGGGATATGTTTAGTCTCCTTCGCAGCCGTTATTAGGGTCGTCACTCGTCACGCAACGCTCCTTCAACTAAGGGAGGAGCGTTGCGTGACGAGTGACGACCCTAATAACGGCTGCGAAGGAGATTAGGATATGTTCAGCCAAAAGCGAAGCGCCGAATCCGTGCGAACACTGAAATCTTTTGATTAAAAATTCACTGTCGCATACCATAAAAATCAAAACGATGGGTACAGAACATTTTACCCGGAGAAGAAAGGAACACAGAAAAGAATAACCCGTGAGCAGGGTCCTCAGTCTCCTAACTCCTTCAAGCGAGAAAAATAAGAGGAGTACTGGGAGAGGAAATTTACCTCTTCGGCCGAGCGAAATTTGAAGGCTCCCGCTTCCTGGCCTCTTCCATTCATTTGCGGCCATTATTCCATGTGAAGGAAACAGTCGACGCCTAGCAAGAGCCATAATGGCTCTTGACACCTAGCTTGCGTGTCTAGCCTGCATAAGAGGCGTTTTGTTTTATTTAGTGATTTCCTTTTTTGTGCATTTTTTCAGGAAGCGCCTCACCATCACGAGTGTCTGGCGCTCCTGCGCTCGCTTTGCCTGAAATGCGAAAACTGATAGAGCCTTTTATGCAGACTAAAGTTCGGCTGCCATCGGATACCTTTCCAGGTGCTTCGCAAAGAGCAGAGCAGGCCACGCTTTTCTTGGTGAATCACAGCCTGGGTGAACCATATATCCACGAGAAAAAAAAAAGCACGCGCGAGTGATATTCCTCAACCGTCATACAGAAAAAACTCTCAGTTCTAGAAATGGAATTTAGTGGGATTTTAGGCTATCTACTAGGTTCTTCAATAGGTTTTAAATTTGATAGGGGCACCATAGCGATCAGCCCGACAAGTCGAGGATAAAGCTTATCTTAGCACCGATAACCATTTCAGCTCATATGTGATATGGAATATATTTCCGAGTTAAATAATTATCTAGAATACAGTTTAGATGATAACCATACAGTAATTAATGTATTTTTCCAAAGTATTGGCATGCATGCCACGGTCTTTCATGCTGTGTTTCATCTGAATTTTACTGGCCGAAACCTAGCTAGACTAAATTTTTTTTCTGTATCTTCCGCTGTGCCTTCATTTGTGTAAAATCAGAACCTAGGGGG